CAAGCCACATATGTTTTAACCAGGCCATTTTCTACTTAATCACACTAAAATTTCAAGCCTTTTCTTCTCTCTCTCTCTACCTGTTCTTGCCCATTCCCAGACTGCATGTTGTTTTATATTTTGGATCATCTGAGCCCATCACTACATAGCTGACTTCTCTCTTGCTCTGCTGCACCTAACAGATTGAAAACACATTATTTTTCTTCCTGTGTATCCAAACAGAATTGAAAATACGTGTAACAAATATTCCCTGTGAGGCCATATTTGTTCATGGTATGTCCACTTGTAACAATAGCTCTGCTGGGCTATTGTGTAATCAAGCAGACCGCCTGGATAGAGCAGATTTTTGGTAACACTTTAAACAGCAAGGGCTAGATTCCCTGTAGATATTTGGCACAGAGGTGTGCAAATTACATCTCCCTGTGTCAGCCCGGCCCTCTCTTCCCCTAGGGGAAATTCACTATGAGGGAGAACAGTTGGTGTTGCCACTCCTTGCTCTCCATTAAGCAGGCAGGTTTAACTTACTGATGGGGCTCCTTTGGAGGACTTCCAGTGGGTGTGTTGAATCAGCATAACTCCTGACCACTCCTTTCTCCAGCCATTTCCTGGGCCCCCTAGGATTCCTTGGCAAAGGAAAAGTTGCAGTGGCTTTCTGCCACCACAAATTCCCTCCCCCTCCCCCCCGCCCCGACCTTTCATTGCCATCCCCTGCCACTGAATCCAGCTGTAAAGGTCCCATCACTTACTTCAAAGCCTTGAAATATTTGATTTTGCCGCTTTCTTTTCCCTTCTCCAATATGGGGTAGGAAAAGCTAAGAACTGTGGGCTTAACCCAACAAGCTGTGCAAGCTCACTAACACAAAAGAGAGCATTCAGGACTGAGAATTAAATTTGCTCCGGTGCCACCTTAACCCATGTAGCTGCCACATATATGGACAGATGATCTAAGATCTTCTAGTGCTCCATAGCACTGTTTGGGATAAATCTGCAGAACAGCTCACTGGATAATTTCTCCCATCTATCTATCCTGTCAGTGTCTCTCTTTAACATCAGCTATTTATATCTCATGCCGCCACAGTCTCCCTATGCAGACATATTCATGGCCAATACAAGAAAAATCCTCACTTCCCCTTAGCGTTTGCATTACTATGCGTCCCTAATAACCAGCACTCTTCATCAAAGCACTGTCTCCTGAAGATAGGAGCAGGGCCGGCTCCAGGCACCAGCCGACCAAGCCCATGCTTGGGGCGGCACCTGGAGGGGGGCGGCGCTCCGGCCGGGGAGAGCGGGGCCGCGGCCGGGCTCTCTGCCCTCCTCCCGGCGCTCCGGCCGGCCGGGAGAGCGGGGCCGCGGCCGAGCTCTCCGCCCTCCCTCCGGCGCTCCGGCCGGCCGGGGAGAGCGGGGCCCTGGCCGGGCTCGCCGCCCTACTCCCGGTGCTCCGGCTGGCTGGGGAGAGCGGGGCCGCGGCCGGGCTCGCCGCCCTACCCCCGGCGCTCCGGCCGGCTGGGGAGAGCGGGGCCGCGGCCGGGCTCGCCGCCCTCCCCAGTCTGACATTATACTTGGAATTAATTATTTATATAAACATATAGTATAGAAAATATACCATATATAAAGGGCAAATGCATGACTATATACAGAACAGTTATGGAAGAGTATGACTCGCCTCTAGAGCACTCCCTTGTGGCCAGGCCCGAGCCCAGAGTTGCAGGGCCTTCCCCTCAGTTGCCACCACCAAAAGGCCATTTAGGCCTGCTGGTGATCCACCTCTTCTTGGGACTCAGCCCTCCAGCCAGTACATGTATACCCCTGGCCCTTCCTGGTTAACAAAGAGTCCAAACAATAACCCACCAACCTCATGTTGGGCCTTTGGCCCTTACTCCGTGTATCAGAGGATTTCAATAATCCTTACCCCTGGTGACAGGGGAATTTCTACACCACCTTCATCAGCAGGCCAATAAGGAGCTCAGGCCCTCTCTCTCCTCTGGGTTCTGGTCCAGGGCCCCTTTAATAAAAGGCCAAGGCCTGTGTACACAGACTCCCTGGCTGCCTCCCTGGACTACTTCCTACCTTGCCCTATCTTAGGCCTTTCCCACAGCCACTTCCTGGGCATACCATGTACCAGCATCACATTCTCAACGCCTTTTCTCCAGGCTCCTGCAGAGCTTCTTAGTACTTTCTATCATCCAGCTAGCTCTGCTGTAGGGGAGTTTTCTCTACTCCTCTCACAGGGCAGTCCCTGACCCTGAAGGAGTTTCGCCGCTCCCGGCAAGCTTCTCCACCAGCACAGAGAATACTAGGGAGACTCACTTCCCCTGCCTTCCTTTAAAACTGCCTTGGGCTCCCTATTGCAGGCCTGCCTTGCTTCCTTCAAGGAGGCTCTTGTCTGCCATGAGGTCACCTCAGCTTCCTAGATCCAGCCATACCTCTCTCCTGGAATAAGAGCCAGAGATCTGCTCTCCTTCTCAATCAGACCCCAACTGAGCCAGGTTCAGCCCTGTTAGGTATCTCCGGCCAGGCCAGATAACTTCTGCATGTGCAGCAGGTCAGGACTGATTGAACCCAAAAGTTATTAACTCCTCCTTCCTCAGTGTGGGCTTTGCATACCCTATCACAGGATACATGAATACAGCAAACCAGTGGAATCTGACACATCAAACCTGCAGTAATCATTAAATAAGCAAACAGTTAGAAGTTATGTTTGAACACCCGACCACATTAATGAACTGTAAAAGAAAAATACAAGGACTTAACTTTATCACTATGCAACAACATAATGTCATCGTGTGTGCTGATTCAATGATGAAAAGTGTAACAGGTGAAATTTTCAAAGCCATTGAAGTGGCTAGTTTATTTTTAATTAATTGTGCAAACAGTGAACATATCTCACTGCTTGGACAATGCAAATGGACCAGTGAAGTTTCACTTTTGTTTCTGTTTCCAGACAATTTCACTTGCTGGTTCGCATGCAGAAGCGCAATGTTTGGGTTGCAAATGCTTCAGGGGAATGTTTATTTGCCTTGTTTTCTTAAAACTGTATCCAAAATATATTTTTAACATAATGGAATCATTTAATATAAATATTTGCCCTTAGTTTTTGTAATCTTATTTTTTACAAAACTTAAATTTTCAGCCAAATTTGACCTGGCAGCATCTGTAAGATCTGTGTGCAATCACTCTAACCTTCAAAAGTACTATAAATGTTCCATGAATGCCAATAGAATTCAAGGAGTACAATTAGCCCAGTTTTGCTTGGGTAAACTATGACCCAAACATATCTACTTTGCCACTGATAATATCCTGGTCATTTTGTTTGCAATGTTCACTGTTTATTCTATCACTGTCTTTTTAGTTAATTTTGTGGTTATGAAAAGTGCTGGATTGACAGTTCTGGGAAAAGAAGCCCTCTGAATAGGCACAAACCAAGTACAGCATAGTGGGCAGCATTGCAATCTTTCCAACCCTGCCCCAGCAATTCACCTCTAGGGAGGAATACAGTTTCCGCTCTTAAACAATCCTTTGTCTCTCTGCTGAGATGGTCTATTAGCATCAGCTCTAATACCAGTTTGGTGATGTAAATACTTGTGCACAAGGACCTGGATTCAGGCCACAAACTTACTTTACAGAGACCCCTCAGTGTTGATCAGACACGCATAACTTTCAGTCATTTCTGACATGGGATAGATTCAAACCTACCAGTGAAAGGCTCTGTGTTCCATTATCAACCGCCATAGCCAGCACCACCTTCTCTGTTTGCTTAGGGCAAGATCATCATGCAGGGGAACAAGGGAATGTCAGGTGTCCCTAACTCCCTTGTGTGGGCTACACACACTGTGGCTCCCAGCATGGGCCTGCTACTCCCACTCCCCACACAGGTGGGCAGGTGGAAATCTTAACTCTTCTTGTGCCAGCCAGCACAGCTGAGCCAGGGAAGTGATCTGCTTGCATAGACTAGATTTACCTTCTGGAATAAGAGGAACCAGATTATGAACTGAGAATCACAGTTTGTTCCCTGGTGTGTTGGAGGGGCAGTGCAGCTACACACCTCAGCATAGATTGTTAAATCACAATCCAGCCCTTCATTTCTCTGGCACAGTTTTAAATTCTATCTTTGCAGAGCAGGAAGAGTTTTGGCACTTTTGGGAAGTGGATGAATTTCATAAGCTATGCCCGAAGTGTTATGTAGGGCTTTTGTGATAGGAACCGTGCCCTATCATTGCATGGCACATTAAAAAATGGCAATTTACCATTTAAAAACTACTCGCAAGCTCAATCTCTAATGAAGTTTCAGTTTTCTACAGATCAAAATCTAGAAGACACAATTTTTACTGTGTTAAGGGGCAGCTATTTTCTGGTTTCAGTTCAACAGCTGTGGTAGCCCTGGGCATAAAATATATGAAGCTGAATGACTGCATACTGCAGGGCTTTATGTTAGTTCACAAACTACCATTTACCTATAACTTGAGAAGTGATATTTAACATTGCAAAGATTGGTGAGGAAACAAGCCTTTCACTTGAAATGTTTCCAAATGTACCTCAGAACCTGGAGGTTCATTTGTGCTTGCCTTTTATCTTTGAGACCATTTGATTCCGTCGGTGTTTTATGTTTGTTTGAATTTTATTTTTGCATTGATAAACCCAGTGTAAAATGTTGCATCATTTAGACAAACTGCTTTTTCTCTTGTCGTATTGATCCCTTCCTTTGGTTAGCATAGCACAATGGGAACAGCAATGCTACGAGTTTCCTTTGTTACCACTGTATCCTGCCGCTACTAACAATAAATGCGACAAGAGATGGGTGATCAGAGTTTAAATGTGTCTCCTTTCAATCAGCAGGGCATTCTACAGAGGGCCCTGCTTGTTGTACTAGAAGTCCTCTTTCTGTGCTGCAGTTATCAACTGCTACATGATGACCTGCAATTCATTGAAGTGTAGAATCAATAGAGTGGCGTGTTCAGTAATTACAGAAGGTGCTTTGCTGATTTTCTTGTCCTGTTAAATAGATTCGCTGCCGTATCTTCAGCTCCTCAGAACAGCAGATTGATGGGTGTAACTATAGGACTCTGAGCCACAGACAAAACCATGAATTCTTAAGAGGATATTTCTGATATAACTCATTGCACTATGGTAGGACTGAAGCAGAATTAATTATTAATATTGAAACATGTTGCATTTTCTAATAAAGCTTCTGTCCTTTAATCAAGGGGACTGTTTTTATTTTTTGTTGGGAGAAATGCTGACCAGAATTAATAATGTATTCAAAATTGCTAAGCTGCAGAATGTGAACTGAAGCTCAGAATGAAGGTGTATGTCAGCCAGGAAGAATTTCTTTAATGAGTAACATCAGATGAAATGAGAAATGTGTAGTTAATTATTGACTGACTTTTAAATAATCCTATTTTTGATAAGGCAGATAGGGTCATATGTTGTTCAAAAATTTCCCCAGTAGACTAAACATTTTGCATTTTGTTTTTTATGGGGAGATAATATACACTGTCTACAGAAAAAGTAACTAACTTTAAAGATTGGGTTTTAACTTTCTCCAGAAAGGATGTGTAAGAATTATGTGCTAGCTTGTTATAAAATGAATTCATCTTTTGTTCTGCTCCCTCTGTTTAGTTAAACTAGTATTTGCTTTTTAAGCAAGGTCACTGATCAGCTGACCAACTTCTTTAACAGCTGGAACTCACACATTTGCTGCTCTGAACCTACAAGTATTGACTCGCAGCAGTGAAAAGATACCTTTCTGAATGGGAAAAGCTCTTCTGCTCTGTTTTTTGTAGATGGAAGGATGAGAAGGTAACCTGGCAATGCGCTTTTTTAATGATACTTTTTCTTTCATAATGAAGTGCTAAATGCAATTGCTGCAATGCAGGAGAAAATGACAGCCAGTGGCAAAAAAATAAATAAATGTGATCTATTTAAATAGTTAATGAGATTGTGTTAATATGTCATCTACCAGGCATGAATTATCTCTTTGTTTATAGTCACAGGGATAAATGTTTCTCATTTGTAAAACTGGTGGTAGCAGACTCCTTTCCTAGAGTGAATTTCACCTATCTTAGTCTTGTAATTCAGTTAAAGTTAAAACCTTCAGGAGGATGATCTTAGGTGTTGTTTTTTTATTCTGCTAATGGGGGTCAGAAAATGGAGAGTTAAATCTGACAGTAAAGGATTACTCCTTGAGACTTGGCTTTTTAAAAAGACAATACATTGTCCTTGCAAATGGGGGAACTGAGGGAAGTTGCTGTGTCAAATATTTGACTTTTTTATGTTTATTTCTCTATATGCTCTTGTCTCATAAGAGGTCTTTTTAATGTACATATGAACTCATCCTCCTCAACACTATTCTTTGTAGTAACACTAAAAATCAAAGATGCTTTATATATGCTGAGATACTCTCTGCCTGGGGATTAAAATTGAGTGTTTTCCATTATTGTATGATATAGGGAAAGTCTGCAAATATTAAAATCCGAGGCAGGGTCAATTTAACAAACGTATACATAATGTATTTTCTGTCAGTGTATATTAAAGGCTCATAATGACAGTGTTTGATAAGGTATTTACCAAAGGGGAAGAAAACCTTACAGAATCTTTGAAAACTCTTTCATGAGGGGCTAGATGATTTAGAGGAGGAGAACAGGATACAGACCTAGGGCACTAGTTCAAATCTGTCCCAGGTTGGTAGTAACTGAAGGGCTTTACCAATCTGAAGGCTGTTCAGTGGCATATTCCTGCTTCTAGTACACAAGAATCCACTGCAAATTAGCACTAAGTTGCCGTAGGAGACAAGCACTGAGTGGGGGTGAGCTTGTCGCTCACAGTACAAGACAAGGACTGAGTGGGGATGGAGTAAAAACTAGCTTGTCAGTCGCAGAAATGGCTCCTCTAGAGACCTGAACCAAAGCCCTTTGAAGTCCATGGAATGGGAATCTTTCCATTGACTTCAGTAGGCTATGGATCAGGCCCCAGGTGAAGGCTCAAGCACGCTGATGTTGTGGTGCATGAGCTGTCTTAACCAGGAGAGTTCAGGCCTGTCTTTCAGATGCACTAAATTCTCTAAATTTAAAGTCTAAGGGGCAGATCCTCCTTTTGCACCAGTGTAAATCAGAAGTAGCTCTTCTGCAGTCAGTGGAGTTATATTAGTAGTGTAAGGCAAAGATGAATCAGGAGGACATGTGTGATATGTCTGCAGAATGCGATCCATGGAACTGTGCATAGCTGGGCGGGCTCTTGCAAAGCCTCAGAGCTCCATCCAGAACACTAATGCACATCTGAAAACTGATCACACCAGCTGGCAGCTTTGTCTCCTCACACTCAGGTTTCTCTGAAGTTATGTATGGGAGCATGGATCAAAGTGGTATGTGGGAGTCATTTTTCATTCCATAGTCTCCCATCAGAGACAACATTAGGCTGTGGTGAGACCTTGTTGTACTTTATCATCCTGCCTGCTGTTTGGTTCCTTCTTCAGTAGAAATTAAATATCTTTTTGGTGTTGTCTTATTTGGTTTATTGTTAAAAACAAAAAATGCAGAATCAAATTTGAGACTGTTTGAAGCTCTTGTGAGAGATGACTGGATAATTTGTCCATGTATTCTGATGAAATTCTTCACTCTGATCTAGTTTTCATGATAGCTAGTCATGGAAGAATATTGGTTTGGATACTAGGGGTAATAGGACCCATATTTTTGGCAGTTAGCCATCAAAACCATGTACAAACTACACTGGAGGCACTTGAAGCACGTCTAGAAGCTGGTATGGTACATGCAGAAGTCATTTTATGAGGTTATTTTTAAACAGATTAGGCAAAAGAGAAAAGTAATAATATCAATTTTATGACTGGAAAGTTGGAACTAAGCCAAGTCATAAATGAATCAATTAGGTCCAATTATCTAGATATTAAAAACCTCATATTGATTGGATTTTTTTTCTTTGTAAATGACCTAGAAGAGTGAAATAAAACTGGTCAGATTGTGGCTGGAATCCATAATCACTGTGCAACTGACTGTAATTGGAAAAGTAAAATAAAAACATTGGAGAAAGTGATTAATGTTAATTTTGGCACATGCTGTTTATTCATGAGGAAAAGCAGGAGAAACGGTCTTTCATGTACAAAATGGAGTTAGCCTGGGAATATCTTAGGAGTGTATTGGTTGAAATCTACCATAAACGTGGTTTTGACTGGTTCTGCAGGATTAAGATGGGTAAACAAATTACTAGTCTGCCAGGTGTCTGTGTTACTATTCAGTTATAATTGTGTATAAGGTAGTAACCTTGGGATCATATTAATGTTTTCTTTATAGTAATGTCTTTCGGAAGACTCCATCACACTCAGATGCAGAGTCCACACTTGTTTAATGCAGCAATAAGTTTCTTACCAGTTAGTTGTGATTTCATAAAAATATTTTCATAATTTTAAATGGGCAACACAGCACAGTTTAATCTCATTTTCTCTAGTGTCTTTATTTGAAAGCTCTATAATTTAAGCACTCCATTTCAATGTTTTAAAACATACATACCAGCAGCATCTGTCCCATTTTTGGGCAGCTCTTCTAAAAATTAAAACAGAAATAAATTAGGTTAAAATTCAAACCAATCTCACAGGAAGAGAGGCATTTAAGGGATAAAGAATGGAGAATTAAGACAAGCTATGGTTTCAGATGAACATTTTATTTTAAACGAAGACGTGGACAGACATAGGAAGGCTGCAGAGAAGAAGTCTCTTGCACCAACCATGATGAGATTGGGTGGAGGGGCAGAGAAGAGATCAATACTAGATAAGTGGAATGACTGACACAGTGAGGGATAAAAGCCAATAAATGTGGCTGGGGCAAGTCCATGGAGGGTTTTAATACTATGGGCCAAATGCTGAAGTCCTTCCTCAGGCGAAACTGTAAGAGTTAAAAGGTGAGCAAGGGGCTTGGAATGTGGACCAAGAAGAGCAATTTGAATTGGCTCCTGAATGAATGGATAGGCAGCAGAGCTGGCTTGGAATGGGTTTAAGTTGATTGCACTTCTTTGTACTTTTGAGCAGGTGGCAGTGGAATTCTGAGCATGCTGGAGTCCGACACAGAGTAAGGAACTGCTGGAGCTGGAAGCATAGAGGGGGAAATGAGGCAGGGCATACCTGGGCAATGGTGCTGAAGAGGGCAGCTGTGGAAATGGAAAACAATCAGGCGGCATCTCCCTCTCCTCACCCACTTCTGCCAATAGGGCTAATGAGATGAGGGCGGTTCTTGACTAGTTATCTGCCCTTCCCCCACACACTTGGTCTAGGGTGTGCATTCAGTGAGTCTCCACCCTCAGCAGCTTCTGAAACTGGACATTATTGAGCAGCTCTTTGCTCTCCCACACAACTTAGTCTGTCTTATGCCAGGGGCTGGGGGAATTTCCCCAGTAGTTCAGCTCTCCAGCGTTGTCTACCTCCTTCCCTTCTGGCTCTTGTGACCTTGCAATTCATGCACCTTTTTTCTGCTCTCTTGAGCACAGGCATGGGTGAGAGATCAGAGGTTTGGGCACCCTGAGGGACTGCCTGCTGCAGAGAGGTTCGGGAGGGGCCGGCCCCGGGGCAGTAGGCTGAAACCAGAGTTTTTCCAACGTTGATCAGAATGAGAGTTGAGGTCAGGGCTCTTCAAGCCTTCAACCCCATTAGAGACTTGGTGCATTGGGGGCAAGGCTGCACTCTCATAGTTCTAGCATGGTTCCAGCCCTGGGAGCAGCGGAAGGTGGATTTCCAGCCTGCACTGGGCAGGTCCTCCCTGCCTCTCTTTCCAGGGACAAACCCAGATCTTAAAGAAAGTTCTCCCTTTGAGGTTACAAACCCACTTCAAAAAACACGAGGGACCCACAGTCTCCTCCTGTAAGCTGGGAAATCATCCTCCCATTCTGGCCCTGACCTTCTTTTCCTGTCTGGTATATACACTAGTGGGCTTGGTTGCCTGATGAGCTCCAGTTGCCTTGACCTCGTTAGAATCCAGCCACCAGGCATAGAAGAAGTAGGGGCTTCCCATCCGACTTGGCTTGGGTGTCCTCAGTCCCAACATCCACAGTCCTCTTGAGATCCTTGGAGTCCTATACGCCATCACTCAGAATCAGGTGACGATGAGGGGGGAGGGAGTGTTGAAGGACGATGATCATGTTCTAGACAATGACAAGTCTGAGTCGAAGAGACAGACGGAGTTATATGTTCCTGCAAGAAGCACGACTGTGTTTTAGTCATTTAGCTGAAGGGTTATTTTAATATGATCGACCACACACTGAAATAATGGGGTTTGTGTTAAAGATATTTAGTAGCAGTTTTGAATCTTTGGCTGCTTTAAGCAAAGAAATGCCAAACAAACCACCACTCTATGTAGCTGTATATACTCCTGGCTCTTTTCACCAGGAGATGAAATATCACACAGTATATAAATTACAGACTATATCTCATAGTAATCAATGTATTTTGGCTAAAGAGTTCATATACCATCTATTACAGATCTCAGGCTAACAGCTAATTAAAGCAGCATCTCATTGTGATGTGTCTAGGAAGCAGGAATTGTTACCACTAGAAGAGAAAATATTGATTTAAATATTATTGAAAATGTTTTCTGTACACCATCTGGCTACAGAATACTTCAAGTAAGAGGCAAGGTACTGCAACAACAGTAACTAACGTCAACTGTACTCCCGGAAGGTCCTGACTTTTTGTTGCACCAAAAAGTTTTTTTAAAAATCACATTGTTCAGCAGTGGCCATTCTGGCTAACTTTGGAGTTTCTTACAGCTAGATGGAAGACCTTACACATGGATGGGGTGTGGTGTATTTGGGCTTTGAAATAAACACTGAGACTTTGTCTAAATGTCCTTTTAATTTTTTTTAGGTGCACAAAGTCTTATTGACTCGTTGGATGATGTTTAACTGACAGCCTGGACCACATTCCACATTATGGAGAAAGCAGATGGTATGGAGGTTGTGTTTTTACTTAAACACTGTTGAATGGAACTCTTTTATCATTTAAAAAATATTAAACCAAGGTATTTTGTTTATACAGTAAATAATTCATGCTCTTCTAACTGTATGGAGACATGTTTTCCAACAATGAAAATATGCAAGGTTTGTGCATCGTTCAAGACACACACGATGCACTCTTGTTTTGCTCTGATTTGTGATTATTGTAGCAGAGAATAAGTATGATAGTTCTATTGTTTACAGTGGAGTTTCAAGCACTGTGTATGGTGCTTTCAGATAAGATCATAAAGACAAAGGTCTTGTGTGTTCTGTATGGACATTAATGATCCCCTTCTACCTTTCAAAAGAGAAGTAGGGCTTTGCCTTGGTGTCACTTTACACAAAATTTTCCTTCCTCATTCCACTATTTCCAGTGTGCTGGCTCCCTCCCCAGAGGTGGCTGCATTTCAGTGGTGCTGTTTGCAGGGCTGGCGCAACCCATTAGGCGACCTAGGCGGTCGCCTAGGACGCTACAATTTGGGGGGCGGCGACCGCAGCGGTATTTCGGTGGTGGGACCTTCCGCCGCCTCTGTGGGGGGCGGCATTTCGGGGTGGGACCTTCCGCCGCCTAGGGCGGCAGAAAAGCTGGAGGCACTCCTGGCTGTTTGTATAAAGGGCTTGGGAAACCTTTGAGATGAAAGGGTCTATATCTATGCCAAATTCTCATCAGCCCCTGCAAGACTGCTTCACAAGGGCAGTGGCAAAGGGAAGAATGCTCAAACATTTTCAGTCTTGGGTAACTACAGTTAGGCACCGATACCCATATTTAAATCAATGGCCTGATTTTCAGAGATTCTTAGCAGTCCTAACTCACCACAACTTCATGGATTCACATTTGAAAATCAGGACACTTACTTTGTTTCCTGAATTTGGATTTAGGTGCTTAACTTTAACCGCACTAGTTTGAAAATTTGGGCCTATGAATTTTGCGGGCTGTGGATTTTATTATTAGTTCTATCCATTCTATCAACTTGCCAAGCACCCTGCCTTTTAGAGGTATTCTTTGTTTTCAAAGGACAACTAGGGTGACAATGTTTGTCCATAGGGCCAACCAATGTCTCTTTGCCTGACTTGCAAAAAGCCCCAAATGTAATTGTCATGGATAGTTTCTATCGTCTGGTTTGTAGCTGGATTTCTTATACACTAGAATTAGGATTTATTATACATCAGCAGCTTTTTAATACTTAGACAAATTTGTAGCTCAGCCTACCAAACCTGCTATTTACATAATTGCCAATTAAAATAATGATTTAGCAAATTCCAGTGCAACAATTACATGAGTCAGCTCCAGAAAACAAGATTATACATTTGCACGTGTTGCTCTGTGGCTATATCTCTAATCAGACTCGACATTAGCATTACAAATGACAAACTACAAACCATTCCTTCTCCCTTTTCCTGGTAGATGCAGGCTAACTGCATAATGATTTAGGAAGGCAGCCGGCTGGCATTTCAGCATTTTGTGCATACTGATGAGATCCCTGATTCTCAGCTGTGCTGCAGCTGCCTTTTGGCTCCTTCAGGCTATTGGTAGTTGCTGAAAATTAGAACAGCCTTCAGACTGCTCTAACTTACCCCAGAGGACTGGATCAATGCACAGCCAGCCCTCCCTGTCCACACACTCCATGCTGTCTCCTCAGCCACAGCCAAGGATTGGGTCTGAGGAGCGGAAGATGAATGGGAGAGGTATAAAGCTAAGACAAAATAAATCATTGCTGACTTCTTTTTTTCTGCTGCAAACTTGGTTAGATTTTTTTTTTATTAATTTATTTTTTAAATTTTAATGTCTCATTTTATTTCAGCTGGCAATCAGCCATCAAAACCCACTGAGGATAAAGATCAACCCAGAAGTCTCCCTTATTCTGTTGAAACACCATATGGCTTCCATTTAGACCTGGACTTTCTGAAATACGTGGATGACATTGAAAAAGGAAATACCATTAAAAGGGTTCACATTCACAGGAAGGCCAAACAGCCAAAGTTCAGCACACTGCCTCGGAATTTCAGCCTGCCTGAGAATAGATCCCGTGCATACGCTTCCTCCCCCAATAAGAGCTGGACTGCAACCTGTTCATTTGCACAGAGGAAGGCATCACTAGGGGCAGAAGAAACCACCTGTCTTATCACCTCGTATGACTCACCACAATCTTTAACTGCAGAGGAGCCACGTTACAGAAAAAAGGCCCTTTTAGCAGAAACAATCAGACAAGCAGAGGTCATCCACCCTGAAGAAGAGCCTGGCAGCTGTAGAAGGAGGCCACAGCTGTTAAGGGCTTCCAGCATGCCAGCCAAACTTCTACCAAGTAAAAGTTCAGAAGAGGAAAGTCAGTGCTCCAAGCCTTCTCAGCCCTCAGCACTGTCTCAGCCTTGTGATGGAAAGAGCTTCACAGAAATTCCCTTTAGCCCTGCAAAGGAGTTACTGGATTCACACTATTCTGATCGTGTCACATTACATTTCCCCAAAGAGCCAAGGAATGTGCAAGAGCAAATCAAAGTGGTGTTCCAGAAAAATGAGCAGCCTGAGGGACAACAGGTGAAAGCCATCCCCGAGCTGGATCCCCAACCCTTCGAGTTTCCGAGGGAGAGAATGCAAATCCAATCTCCACATCAAAGCCAGCATTTCATAGCTCAAGAGCTGCTCCTGGTTACAGAGAGTGGAGGAGAGGAATGCTACGCACCAGAGACAAATAAATGTCCTGAATTAGTCAAGGATGAATCAATCTCATCAAATGCCCCCAAGTTTATGCATGAAAATGAGAACCGTGAAGAAATAGAATTAAACATAAGTGAGATCATGCCATGTGCACCAGAGAAGACTGAAGTTAGAAGCGTTTGGGCTAGAGCAAATGAGGAAAACGTAGATCTTGAACCTTTGCTTTGTGACACAGTAGAACCCAGCAGGATCACAGCACTGAAACAACAGATCACTGTTCTGGAGGAGCAACTAAATAGCAAAATAGAGGAACTTGAGCAGATCAAAGTAGTGCTGAAGCAGCAGGATAGTGAGATCAAAGCAAAGGAGAGAAGCATTAAAATACTGGCAAGCTCCAAAGCTCAACTGGAAGAGAAACTCTGTCAGGAAAACACCAAAGAAACTGAACCGTCCAAGCAGGATGGAAATGTCCTGCAATACCATGATGCTGCAGTGAACACTGAACTTATGCAAGCAAACACGTTTAAGGAGGCCTATGACAAGGGTGTCAATGTTAATATTCCAGTCGCTACAGAATCTGTAGGATGTGGTACCTATGGAGTGGACAATGTGAACTTGCAGGCTAAGGAGTTAAGAAGAATGCCTGTTCATACGGATCAGGGGTTGGCAGATGTTGACACTCGTGTCAGAGAGGAAGGGGCTGCATCTCTTGCCAAACAGAAAGGAACTGGAATTGACACTGAGCCTCCTGTCTTTACACCACGCTTCACTGAGCTGAAGATAGATGAACAGATCAATGATGACTGTCAACATCAAAGAAACAGCTATGACAGACAGTCTTGTGCTGCTAGCTCTCTGATTGGAGAAAGCTGTTCAAGAACAGGAAGAGCTGACTCGAATGGAAATAAACCAGGTGGAAATAAACCAGTTTTTGCCGGGGATGTAAAGCAAGATCTGATTGAGGAGGAAAAGCATACAGAACAACAAGATTCCTCTGCAGATGACCCCATAGGCCAATATGTTAAAAAAATCCAGGAGCTTTTGCAAGAGCAGTGGATGTGCTTGGAGCATGGCTATCCAGAGTTAGCAAGCGCTATTAAACACCCTGCATCGAAGCTTAGTTCCATCCAGAATCAGATAGTTAATTCCTTAAACTTGCTGTTATCTGCCTATTCTACCCAAGCACCATCAGATAAGGAGAACTCAAACACGCAGTATCAACAATTGGGTAAATAACATTGGCACAGGTCTAAACGCATCCGGGCCGATTCTCCTCTCACTTGCACCAGCATCAATTAGCAGTAACTCCGTTGAAGTCAATGGTGTTACATCAATGTAGAGCCAGTGTCAGTGAGAACAGAAACAGGCTCTTTGTGTTTCCTTAAGTATAGATGAGAGAGGTAATCTTTATAGCACGGTGTAAAACTTGACGTTTTACTTGAAGTTTTACACACAATCTGAACTTTTCAAAGTTCCCTTATGCTATTGAGAGGGACTGGTCCGTCAGGTAGAGTTGCTCATCGCTTTTCTTAATTGGGTTTTATGATTCTGCACTTCATTAGTGATCACAGGGCCAGATCCTCATCTGGTGTAAATCAGCATTAACTTCAATGGAGCTAAGCCAGTTCACACCAGGATGTGGACCATGGTATTTAAAAAGACCTGTGCCCTTTAAGATAAATAACTAATAAATATTCCATGTGAAATTAGGTTATTTTATTCTTTTGTGGCCTGATCCTCATTTACATTGTCTCCTCTACACTGCCAGAGGGGGGTATTAGTGTAATTAAATCTAAGGCCTCTAGTTTCAAGCAATAGAACATGAAAGGATGTGAATTCAGGTGCAGTAATTCATTTCTGTAGTGTTATATAGAAGGCTGACACTAAGAGTGTAACCAAGGACCCTATGCATGAATTTCAATGACAACATCAATATCCAAAGTGCAAAAAGACCTAATTAAGGGGTTGTAGTAGAACATTATTAAACCAGTAAAGCCTACTTATATTAGGACAAGATGCAGATACTTACCAGTCATTTATAGATGTGTGTCAGATCTCCATCCTTGTTTTAATGGTGGCAGCCCAGATTTAGACTATATACAGCTGCCTCTGCAGTTCTGTAAGGTATATAAGGTCCTTCATAAGGTAACATGTAACATAAACCCAAGATACCTAGATAAGTGTGACATAATTGTGCTTATGCTCTGTAGTTTGTTCCAGGCATACAATAAAGTTGAGACTAACAATTATGACAACATAGATACTTTCTTAATCTCTGATTTTGTATTTTGCTAGAAATCTCTCCAACCACAAGTCTTAAATCAATCATGAAAAAGAAAGGTTATGGTTTCCATGCAGGAGGTAATGGGACCAAAAAGAATCTTCAGTTTGTTGGGGTAAATGGTGGGTAAGCATCAGTTAAGAAGATAAAACTGCCTTTTCACATACAATATTATCCTCATCTGTCTCTCTCAGGAAATATGATTTCCCCCTCCCCACAAATCTTTAATTAAAAGGCCATTTGCAATGTCATCTCTTTTATCCCTTCTTCAATCTAATATCAATAACTCTGCAGTAAAACCAGATGGGAAAGACTGGGACGTCGGCACTTTACAGCAATAATGAATGGTACTGGATTGACATCCTTGAAGACTGAATTCCTTTGCACATAGGTCATTTAGGGCTTGATCCAAAACCTCAAAGTCATTGGGAATCTTTCCATTAACTTCAATGGACCTTGCATCAAGTCTGTACTGCACAGGCAGCCACACCCTGCCATCAAAAGTGCCTCAGTATTGGCCTAAAAGAAGTTCTATCTATGCCTATTCAGTCCTTGGTCTCTCTATAACGACAGCCAACAAAAGTGCCAGTCAGTGCTGTGATAGGAGTGGGGATTATGTGGACACTTGTTCACTAAGAACTGAACGGAGACCAATACATGTAATATATTTTCATTATCATCAACTTGGAAACTCAGAGTCTGATCCAATTCCTGCTCAAGTAAATGGAAGTTCTTCAATTGATTGCAGTGGGAGATGGATGAGGGTCTACACTAGCAGATGAGTCAGGTACTGAAAGGAAGGATGGTCCAGTTGTTGAGGCATTCACCTGGGTCCTGGGGGATCCAGGTTTAATTCTCTGCACTGTCTTAGGTTTCCTTTGTGACCTTGGGCAAGTCACTTAGTCTCTCTCTGCCTCAGTTCTGCAACTGCAAAATGGGGATAGTACTCCCCTACCTCACAGGGATGTTGTGAGGATAACTACATTAAAAGAGTCTGAGGCATTCTGATACTACGTTAGCGGGGGGCCCATAAGTATATAAGATAGATAGAAATTGCAATATGGAATTTTTCACAGTTACATCTAATCTAATTTGCACTGAGCAAAATCCATGACCATCATAAGAGTTAGGCATTCATGAACTCAGCTGAATTTCTTGTGGACCAAAGTCCATACCGCTCAAGCTGGTATGAATTAACATCTTTGTTGAGAGTCTCAGCAGAGAGGCCAAGGATTGAATTGAGACAAAATGGCATTTTACCCTAGAAATGGTCTTTCTGGGCAAGGTCTGAGGCACATTGTTTGGGCAGCATGATGGAATCTTACCCCTTTGCCCCCTGTTCTGCTGATTAATTGACATCTGTTTCCAGTGTCGACACTCTGGGAGCTTTCAGGAGCACTTAAAAAGAAAGTATAAGTAAGCACTCCTTTCTAAGTGAATAAAATTAATGTAGGTTGCATTTGGGCTTGCTCTAGAAGAGATATAAATTTGCCTGCATGCAAATTGTCACCTTACTGGGATCAATTAAAGATCAGTTATGTGGGAAAGTTGCTGCTTAAACAGACAATCATCAAAAGCCATGCTCTTAAAGATTTAAATCATGAAGTTATATATTTGATACATGAATGTGTACCGTTATGAATCCTTATCTAATAGCAGTGTTATCTCATGAGCCTTATAAGCAGAGGTGAAAGTAAGCCGGTACACCCCGGTACGGCGTACCGGCAAGAGCCGGTTTGCCGAACCAGGGCGGCCCGGCTTCCCCGGGGGCAATTTAAAGGGCCTGGGGCTCTCAGCAGGGGCAGGAGCCCCAGGCCCTTTAAATTGCCACCAGAGCCCCACTGCTGGAGCCCTGGGGTAGGGCTGCGGGGCTCTGGGGGCTATTTAAAAAGTCCGGGGCTCCCGCTGCTTCTACTGCCCCGGCCCTTTAAATAGCCGCCGGAGCCTCACCGCCACTCCGGCGGTGGGGTAGGGCTCCTGGGGTAGGGCTCCGGCGGCTATTTAAAGGGCTGGGGCGGTAGAAGCAGGGGAGCTCTGGGCCCTTTAAATAGCCCTCGGACCCCAGGGGTTGGGGGGGGGGGGAGGCTCCAGCTGCCTCTGCCACCCTGGTCCTTTAAATAGACGCGGGAGCCCCGCCGGAGCCCCGGGCTGCTGCTGCTATCCCTGTGAAGGGGGGGGAGGGCACTTACCTTACAGGGTGGGCTGGGGCTGGCTCTGACTCCCTCAGCCACGCCTCTTCCTCCCTAGGCCCCACCCCTTCCAGGGGCCAGAGCTGGCCCCAGCGTACCGGTAAGTCACTGGACCTACTTTCACCCCTGCTTATAAGTGAAAAGCGGAATGAAACTACGAAGAGAAAGTGTTCTTTTCAGATATGTGCTGAAGTCTACCAACGGTTCTTAATATTGCTTCAGGTTTTTTGCTTCAAACAGCAGACATAATTGGATAATTTGTCCAAATGAACTGCAAATGGAATATACTATAATTAAAAGTGTCCCATACATTAATAATGTCATCGTGGGCCAAGTTTTCAAAAATAGCTTGTTAAGTTGCACCCACAAAATATGTATATGTGTACAAACCAAGGAGTTCTAATTCACGTCTTGCCCATGAAAAGATGCCTATTTGTGTGTGAGTGATAGTTGAGTATTATAATTATTTAAAAAAATGGATCACCCAAGGAACAGTTACAAAATGCCAATAGAAGTGACTCAGTTGAAGAATTCTTCAGCTGATTTTTATTTGTGCTGAAAGATTTATATTTTCCCCTCAATGGGCATGGACTTATGCATGTGAAATTGATCCTGGGTTTCTCTCCCTGTACTTATATGTGCTGTTGTTTACCCCAGAAGTCACTGCAGTTCAGTGGCTGAGATTCCGATAGCCTTGCTCATGCTGACTAATACCTATTTCACAAGTAGTCATAAAAATCAATGGAACTACTTGTGGAGGAAGGTGGCACGCAATATAAGCAAAGATAGAATCTGAGCTTCAGTCTGTGACATTTTGGGATCCTTTGGAGTAAAAGGCACCATATACATGTAACATATTAACACCACTGCTCTTAAACTAGCCAGGGGGAATTCTCTATAGAGTGACATTCCCTATCCCTAATTTTAGCAGCAAATTGCTTCGATAGCAATCCTGTTGGCCTGGGAAACAAGAAGACTAGAAATTGAACCCAGAGTTCCTGTGTAGTAGGTTTGAACCTCAAAGTTGGGGTCTGGATCTAGGGTTTTGGTTTGGTGCCAATCTTTTATATTGACATATTTTTACTGTGTCTAACATGCATGTCACTATGAGCCTCATCCAAGCCCATTGGAGTCATTGGGTGTCTTCAATGGGTATTGGCACAGGCCCTATAGTTGCTGAGGGGGAAGGAAAAGTGAATAATATCTGGTGTCCTCAATTAGTTACGAAACAACATCAAGTGAAGACACCAGCTGTGAAGACAGCTCATCGGAAGGAAATTCTGACAGCGAGATGGAGAGGAAGTATGACACTTTAGAGCACAGACAGGTGAAAGCTGCCCGTGAAAACAAACATGCCTCATCTGGAGTCTCCCAGTGCACTAGACATGAAGACAATGAGCCACAGGAACTGGAAGAAATAACAATGGCTAGCATTCAACCCAAGACTGACAGGTAATCAGATAAACAGGCTAATGCAACATATTAGTGATGTTGACTAATGAACAATAGCAAATTGTGATTTTTGGTTCCAAGTTTCAGTGGAAGACTGCAGCCACTTTGTTAGCAGCAAAGTTTGTCAGAGGGTGGTGATGGACGGCAGGAGAGAGATCACTTGATCATTACCTTTAGGTTCACTCCCTCTGGGGCACCTGGCATTGGCCACTGTCGGTAGACAGGATACTGGGCTGGATGGACCTTTGGTCTGACCCAGTACTGCCATTCTTATGTTCTTATGACTGATTCTGAGTCATGCAGTACCTGTGTGGCTAGGTTATCATAATGATGCAGATACAGTACGATAATATTGCTGGACCCATGGCTTTGTCTTACGTTCTCATTTCATTAAACTTTTTAGAGAGATCTGTGCTTTTCATGGGGAAATAATTCAAACTAAAATTACTAAAACAGGGCTTTCAGTCCTTATATTTTTCTCTGCACAAAGCATGTTACAATAGCGCATTTGCCATATATGCCAATTTTCAAACCACATGCCTAGACATTAGAATATTCATATTGTGAAAATCAGTATATCAATGGGAATTTCTGTACCATACTCTGCTCTTTGTGTTTCATAAGGGGTTTGGGGCTAGAGCTATCCACGCATCATCACAACCTGTCATGTTGTACTGGTTTAGGGCCAGATGCAATGTCAATTGAAGTCAATGGAAAAACTCCCATTGACTTATGTGAGCACTTGATCCGGCTTTAAACAGATACATATTTTCTTCAGGTTAGTACAGAATCCAAAGTTTCTCATCTTCTAATTTTGTCCTAACAGACATTTAATTGTTACTATAGTGGATTTCCTGGAAGATCCAGGAATAAAATTGCTTTTGCATGAATTTTTGTGAAAGTGGTGATTTGTAAATATAAAAGACATTTGGTTGCCTATGTAACATGTACAATCTATGAACACTTATGCATATGCTTAACTTTATGCCCACAATCCTATCAAAGTTAATGGAACAATATGCATAACTGTTTGTTTGCAGCATTGGGGCCTAAAGGTACACCCTGCAAGTTATCTTCCCAGTTCAGCGTGCACTAGTTCTCTCTTACAATGGATTTATAAGAGTGTTTTCCTTTTTAGATGCAAACCCTCAGAAGATTTTCTTGATGGCTGCCTGTTATTGAGCAAACACCTTTCAGAAATAAGGACCTCCAATGACAAACATTTGGTACTGATATTTTTCAGTTGAATTTAAAATGCAACCCCCCTGTCTGTGCTACATTTAACCATTTAGAGTTTAGACCATCCAGACAATGCTTTGCAGAATTATTGTAGCAAACCATGGGCAGCTTTATAAGGAGAGGTGGGTCAAGGTAACTTCTGTTGTCCAGTTTTGGTTTTGAAAGTGAAAACCAGCCCAAGATTTGGTTTTAGATTCATGACCTACAGAAAAAGGGAGAAAACTTTCCAAGCTTCCTCTATTCAATTGGGCCAGACTAAAACTGACATAAAAATTCCTTTCCCCCTTTAAATAATCTTTCCCTGCTTCTAGACTGCAAGGGGAATAAAATAACAAAAACTATGCAAAAACTCCATCCTGCATATTAAACACATGCTGGATCATGCAGCAAAGCAGTCTTCAACATTGCCAAAATACATATGGCAAATATATTTCTCCAACCTATGCCAGGGCATAGGCTGAAGCAGTGCAGGGCATAGAACCAGGAGTTGTAACAGGCTTCCAGCATTCCCCCCCAGTACACACACATTCTGCTGCATCAAGCATATCTCAGTGCAAAAGAATCTGGTACTAACTTTAACAAGCAGAGCACTGGAGAAGGGGAAAAATTTGCCCAGCATCTCCTCCTCTTTCCGTAGCCAAGCAACTGAGGGTATGGCAAAGGCAGGGCCCTAGATCTCCAGGTGGGTGGGTGGGTGAGAAGACACACATATCCCTTGCAAAAATGTGACTACATAGTCTGTAACGAGAGCCTCAGAGAGACAGCAAATTGACTGATTGTGGGCTGGTCAGGAGAAAGACAATGATGCTTCATTAGCTTTTGCTTATTAGTAATTTTTTAAGAGTAGAACTGAGAAAAGTTCTACAGGAGCGTGCCTAATGGGAACACTGAGTGCTGAATCCTTTTTGCATACAAAGGCTGAATCACTTAAAGGAGAAACATGTAGCGCTAAAGAATTTCTTCCCTACTCTAGCTGCTGTTTGATTGTTCTACACACACATAGTTGAGACCAGTATTTTGCCCCATCCTATGTTCTGCACAGGTCAGTAAGGCTTCCCCTTGCTGCCCTATGCCAACGCATTGCAGGTAGCCTCCACAGAGCCCATCCCACACCGGTGGGCATGCAGGGGTTGGGGAATGTGCAGAATCTTGGGACAGCCCCCTCCCCCCAATCGTGATGGACAGCACAGCTGCACCAGATGGAGGAGACAAAACACAGTGCTAGGTATAGGACTTCTGCACAGTACATTCCACCCTGGAGACGGTGGGATCCAGGAGTCAGATTGTGACTGAATCACAATTTACTTCCCAGGCAGCCTGGGCTAGTTGAGTTATGCACTTCCCCCTACGTGAGGCAAATAGAGAAGCTACAGTTTAGACCTGGATTTATAGAGTACTTGGGATAAAATTTGTATTATTATTATTATTATTATTATTATTTTATTGGAGGGAGGTAAAGAGAAGTTGGTAAAATGTTTTAATATAGATGTTAGATTGATGACATCATATAAAAATAACACAGTTGTTCTAGTTGGCCCATAAAACAGGATATAGGAGACGAGCTCAGATTTATTTGTATCCACTAATGTATCAATAAATATGAATGCTGCTTGAATTAAAGTCTAGTGATAACTTGCCCATGAGAAAATTTTTCCATGTATTCATATATAGAACTAGTCACTTTAGTTCCCTTAGGGTGGCCATTTTTCAATTAAAAACAAACTAACTAACAAAAGCCAGTGAGAAACTACCTCTATTTTTAAAGATTTTTTTGTATTGTCTTTGCTAAAACAAACCACCCTTTTGCACTGCCAATAAGTGTGAAGTTTTCTTTGCCAGCCACAAAGTGAAAACCCCAGCCAGGGACCAACCCTAGGGTAGAGCAATAGCGAAGGGAACTGGCATCATTACTTTTTGAAAAAGTAAGGTCCTGAAAGTGACTGTGAAATGTTGGTGTTTTAGAGACACATCTTAAACACGGTCTGTCAAGAGTGGTTCCGAGTCTCTACTAGGAAATCCTCCAGCCCTGAGGTTGTTGCAGCTTATCTCAAAGAATTCAAAGCAATTCATCCCCAGCTACTGAAGATGATCATAAACTTGGCGGATGGAAATGGGAATACAGCTCTTCATTACAGTGTTTCCCATTCCAACTTTCTGATTGTGAAGCTTCTACTAGATACAGGTGGGAACTAATGCTTTGTTGTTGTTTTTGTCTGGGGTGGGAGGGAAAGGTTGGTACTTGCCAATTATTTCATATAATCACATTTAATGTCTTTTTCAGATTTAAAAATCTGGTCACCATTTAAGGGCCCAATCCTGGAAAATTTACTACCCAGCATGTGGCTGATTGAGCAACATTGGAGTCAGTGGTAGTCTTTCCATTGGCTTCAGTAGGAGTTGGATTGGGCCACTAGATTTTTAAAGATATTTAGATGCCTGAAGATGCAGATAGACATCTAGTGGGATTTCAACGGAATTAAGTGCCTAGGTGCTTTTGAAAATCCCACTGGGGGAGATCTTCAGGCACCTAAATACATTTAAATATTTGGCCCTTAGTGCTTACTTCAGTGGGACTAATCACAGGAGTAAGCATTGTGCTCCGCAGTTCATGTTTGCAAGATCAGACCCTTTGATTGTAATAGTGGTCTCTAGCTCAGCAGCAAGAACCGCATTCTAATCTATTGAACTTTTAGCTCCTACTGTAAAGAATTAAACTTCCAGCTGAGATTTTATCAGAGAAAATGCAGGCACTTTCCAGACAGAATAATGAAGCTTTTTGCCTTTCTTGGTTGGCAAGACAATCTGTTAAATGTTAGGAAAATGGCATATTATCATACACATCTATAAACCCATTGTTTAACAGACTTCCAAGCAACCCCAGAATATTGAGAGAAGTTTGTTCTGCTCTTTTAGAAAATACCCCAAGGCGACTAAGCTCAAAGGGGAATATTTAAATGTTTAGGCACAGTAAATAAGAAGGCTGAGAGTATAACAGCACACACTGGAACAGTAGGATTGATGCATTTCTAAATAGAATTAGCCTATTTGCTGTGTATAAAATGAACGGAGACTTGTCAAGTGCATAAAAGTGTCAGAATTAGAATAGTCCAAATTGCATGCTGCATCTCTATTTAGATCAGCTACTGAAACATATTTACTATGAATGTTCATTCGCATTTTGAAACAAATTTATCTTGAATGTGTTCACACCCCAGGCTGCCAAAGTAGGGTGACTAGTTAGCAAGTGTGAAAAATTGGGACAGCTAGTGAGGGTGATGATAAGGTCCTACGGGTGTGGGTAATAGGGTCCTGTATGAAACAAAGCCCCTAATATTGGGACATCTGGTCACCCTATGCCAAAGTGATGTGAAGGAGCCAGTGTAACTCAGAATCAGACCCCAAATCTGCTTAGTTTACAGATCAAAAGAAGATTTTTCCAACTGCTTGCGCTTGCAAGTTCAGCCTAAAACATCATATTAAAAGCAAGCCGTGTTCTTTCAGGTCAGCACTTCATCACTAACAATCTAGATTCATTGCTGGCAAGTTACCTGAGATTGTGCAAGCAAAGAGGGTCAGAATCCAGCTTGTTGTTCCATAGCTAGATCAGCTCTGTAATGCTAACATTAGTAAAACTTGGTTATAGTAGCAACCTAAGAAGATCAGATTTAGGATGCACATTGGGTGAAATTCACTCCTCTACTTAAGCCCTATTCTGAGAACTTAAACGAGTGGTTCATAGGTCTGGAACTGGCCCTCTGCACTGGGGCAAATGTCACCCATACAAAGCAATGATGGCAGTGGCAGAGTGCCATTTTGTTCAGAATAACTTTGATGATCATAACCCAACTTAAAAATGCTTAGAAACAAAATTCCAAGTAGCTCGGAGCAATACATAACATCCAGCGACTCTGTACTTACAGCCAACTTACTCAGTCTTCAAGTCATTTGGGCTCAGATCCTCAAAGGTAATTAGGTGCTTAACTCTCATTGAAATCAATAGGATTTTTGCCATTTTTTTCACTGGGAGCAGGAGCAGTTCCTAAGTCACTCACAGACTTGCCTCAAAACACAACTCCTCTGTTAGGCTACTGATCAAGCCATTGGTCATTCCTGCCTGAATAAGAACTACTGCATCCATCTCTTAAATGCTGGCTACAAGTAATACTTACATCTTTTCATATTTGATACTCTGCTTCTCTTTTTTTATTTCTGTTTTGCTCAGTTTGCTTGTCCATGTTATCTACTGACTTTCCCCCCACCTCTGCACTTTATTTTTTTCCCTTCCACACGTGATAGTGTGGGTCTCTCTCCTTTTCAAGTCTACAGTCATTTTTCTTCTCTACAGATCTTCTCAGGGCCTAGTTCTGCTCTCAGTGGAGACAGTAGAAAAGCTCCCATTAATTTCATCGGGAAAATGATTGATCTCCAAGTTGCTATATTTTCCTTTTCTATTTTTTCTGCCTTTCTTTTACTTCTCTCACTTCTATTTTGATGGTCACATTTTCTATAATTGCTATAATTACGTTCTCTCTCTACTCAGCTTGTCTCCTCCTAATTCACTTGTTTCGCTGCTCTGCAATACCCCACTTGATTATTTCTTCTCTTCCAGTGTTTCTCTTACTACTCTTTTATCTCTACTTTCAGTTTCTCCACCGTTTTGGGTTCCTTCTCTCTTTCCTTCAAATTCTTCCTCTCTTTCCTCCCTTTTTTCTGACCAGCTGATGTTTAGCATTTTCTCTGTGATCCACATAGTTTCCACAACTGATCCGTAGTGCACTTTTTGCCTGACTTGCATGCACCTGAAAGTGATTGCCACTGAACTCAGGGCAAAAATCAGTATCTCAAATCGTGAGCATCAACCACTGGCTTTGCTATAGCTTCAACTTTCTAGGCCTCTCACTTTCAGATCTCAATATTAATGTGAGATCAGTTTTAAAAAAAATGTTAAAAAGAGCAGATTCCTGTGATGATGCAACTGGCCATAAATGGCCTAAAATTTCCTCACAGGTATCCGTTATCCATGTGTAAATAGTGTAGTGTGTTTTGGCTATGTCACTCAACCCTGCACTATCTGTAGATTTTCAGGACTCTTTTCCCCCCTCATCTTTAGGTGTTTGTGATGTGGACCATCAAAATAAAGCTGGATATACTGCAGTGATGATCACACCACTGGCATCAGCAGAAAGTGATGAAGACATGGAGGTGGTCTTAAAGCTGTTGAAAGAAGGGAACGTAAACATACGGGCAAGTCAGGTACATAACAATCATCAACAGTCCCTGTTTGTTTGTACAAGTGAACATAGACTTGAAAAGATAATGGAGCAAATAATTAAACAATCAATTTGCAAAGAGCTAGAAGATAAGAAGGTGATAAGTAAGAGTCAGCATGGATTTATCAAGAACAAATTGTGTCAAACCAACCTAATAGCTTTCTTTGACAGGGTAACAAGCCTTGTGGATAGGGGGGAACTGGTAGATATGGTATATCTTGACTTTAGTAAGGCTTTTGATGCTGTCTCGCATGACCTTCTCATAAACAAACTAGGGAAATACAACCCAGACAGAGCTACTATACAGTGGGTGCATAACTGGCTGGAAAAAACCATTCCCAGAAAGTAGTTATCAGTGATTCACAGTCAAGCTGGAAGGACATATAGAGTGGGGTCCCGCAGGGATCAGTTCTAGGTCCAGTTCTGTTCAATGTCTTCATCAATGATTTAGATAATGGCATAGAATGCACTTATAAAGTTTGCGGATGATACCAAGCTGGGAGGGGTTGCAAGTGCTTTGGAGGATAGGATTAACATTCAAAATGATCTGGACAAACAGGAGAAATGGTCTGAAGTAAATAGGATAAAATTCAATAAGGACAAATGCAAAATACTCCACTTAAGAAGGAACAATCAGCTGCACACTTACAAAATGGGAAATGACTGCCTAGGAAGGAGTACTGCAGAAAGGGATCTAGGGGTCATAGTGGATCACAATCCAAATATGAGTGAACAGTGTAACACCATTGCAAAAAAAGCAAACATCATTCTGGGAGGAGTATTAGCAATAGTGTTGTAAGCAAGCCACAAGACATAATTCTTTCGCTCTACTCTGCGCTGATCAGGCCTCAACTGGAGTTGTGTCCAGTTCTGAGTGCCACATTTCAGGAAGGATGTGGACAAATTGGAGAGAGTCCAGAGAAGAGCAACAAAAATGATTAAAGGTCTAGAAAACATGACCTATAAGGGAAGATTGAAAAAATTGTTTGTTTAATCTGGAGACGAGATGACAGAAAGGAGACATGATAACAGTTTTCAAGTACATAAAAGGTTGTTACAAGGAGGCAGGAGAAAAATTGTTCTCCTGAACCTCTGAGGATAGGACAAGAAGCAATGGGATTAAGTTGCAGCAAGGGTTGGTTTAGGTTGGACACTAGGAAAAGCTTCCTGTCAGGGTGGTTAAGCACCGGAATAAATTGCCTAGGGAGGTTGTGGAATCTCCATCATCGGTTATTTTTAAGAGCAGGTTAGACAAACACCTGTCAGGGATGGTCTAGATAGTACTTAGTCCTACCATGAGTGCAGGGGACTGGACTAGATGATCTCTCGAGGTCCCTTCTTGTCCTACAATTCTATGATTCTAAGTTTTTATACAGAATATATCTGTGAACTGGATGATGCATGGAAACCATAGGGATAGGTTCCCTTCCAACCCCAAACTACAGGATTCACTTGGCAAACCCATTCACAAGCCAAACCCTGCAGGGTTCATACCACCCTAATTATAATCAGACCTGTCCGATTCCTATTACTTACTCCCAGTGTGAGTTCAGATTGAATAAAGGAGTGAAAGATCTGGCTAAACAAGATGACTTTGAGATGTATTTATTGTGTAATTAATTAAGTCTCAGCGCATATGGGAGCTAGCCTTATAAAGATGCTGCATTGTAGAACCTTCTAGATGCTAATTCAGCCAGAGTAACTAAACATGTTTAATAATCCTCAGATAGAATTTATTTCCTTCATAATTATGTCCCCTTAAAAAGCCTTATAGGGAGAATAAATCAAGCATTACAACATGCTTACACCATCAACCCTTAATCAGGGGGCGGGGCTACTCAGGAAGACCAGGGCTTTAAAAAGCCCACACCTAAGCAACCAGAGGAGCTAGTGAACAGGGGAGTTTTGCGAGGGAGTTTACAGGGGGAGTGTGTGTGGGGGGGCTACATACACTTAACATTCCTTAAACTTCTTTAAACTTAAAGCCAAAAACACCCCCTGATAAAAACAAAACAACAACAAAGGAACAAGCTTCAGGAATAAAAAGAGAATGCAGGCAGGAGAGGAGAGGAAGGAAGATAATGAAGGAGGAGAGGAAGGAAGATGATAAATACATGTAAGATCTGATGAGAAACAGTCAAAAGAAAAAAAGGCCCATTCAATTACCTCATGTAATGGCATAAAAAGCTAAAAAGTGACAAGTTTTTAAAGTGCTTATATACCAATGCTAGAAGTCTAAATAATAAGATGGGCGAACTAGAGTGCCTCGTATTAAATGAGGATATTGATATAATAGACATCACAGAAACTTGGTGGAATGGAGGATTATCCATGGAACACAGTAATACAAGGGTACAAAATATATTGGAAGGACAGAACAAGTCGTGCTGCTGGGGGAATGGCACTATATGTGAAAGAAATGAAGTAAAAATCTTAAATGAACCAAACTGTACCATAGAATCTCTATGGATAGTAATTCTATGCTTGAATAATAAGAATACAGTAGTAGGGATATATTACAGACCACCTGACCAGGATGGTGATAGTGACTGTGAAATACTCAGGGTGATTAGAGAGGCTATTAAAATAAAAAACTCAATAATAATAATGCGGGATTTCAGCTATCCCCATACTGACTGGGTACATATCACCTCAGGAAGGGATGCAGAGATAAAGTTTCTTGACACCTTAAATGACTGCTTCTTGGAGCAGCTAGTTCTGTAACCCACAAGAGGAGAGGCAATTCTTGATTTAGTCTTAAGTGGAGCACAGGATCAGATCCAAGAGGTGAATATAGCTGGAGCGCTTGGTAATAGTGACCATAATATTAAATTTAACATCCCTGTGGCGGGGAAAACACCACAGCGGCCCAACACTGTAGCATTTAATTTCTGAAAGGGGAACTACACAAAAACAAGGAGGTTAGTTAAACAGAAATTAAAAGGTACAGCACCAAAAGTAAAATCCTTGCAAGCTGCATGGAAACTTTTTAAAGACACCATAATAGAGGCTCAACTTAAAAGTATACCCCAAATTAAAAAACATAGTAAGAGAACCAAAAAAGTGCCATCATGGCTAAACAACAATTTAAAAGAAGCAGTGAGAGGCAAAAAGGCATCCTTTAAAAAGTGGAAGTTAAATCCTAATGAGGAAAATAGAAAGGAGCATAAACTCCGGCAAATGAAGTGTAAAAATATAATTAGGAAGGCCAAAAAAGAATTTGAAGAACAGCTAGCCAAAGATTAAAAAAGTAATAGCAAAAAAATGTTTAAGTACATCAGAAGCAGGAAGCCTGCTAAACAACCAGTCGGGCCACTGATGATTGAGATGCTCAAGGAGCACTCAAAGAAGATAAGGCTATTGCGGAGAAACTAAATGAATTCTTTGCATCGGTCTTCACGGTTGAGGATGTGAGGGAGATTCCCAAACCCGAGCCATTCTTTTTAGGTGACAAATCTGAGGAACTGTCCCAAATTGAGGTGTCATTAGAGGAGGTTTTGGAACAAACTGATAAACTAAACAGTAATAAGTCACCAGGACCATATGGTATTCACCCAAGAGTTCTGAAGGAACTCAAATGTGAAATTGCAGGACTACTAACTGTCGTCTGTAACCTATCATTTAAATCAGCTTCTGTACCAAATGACCGGAGGATAGCTAATGTGACGCCAATTTTTAAAAAGGGCTCCAGAGGTGACCCTAGCGATTACAGACCAGTAAGCCTGACTTCAGTACTGGGAAAACTGTTTGAAACTATAGTAAAGAACAAAATTCTCAGACACATAGATGAACATAATTTGTTGGGGAATAGTCAACATAGTTTTTGTAAAGGGAAATCATGCCTCACCAATCTACTAGAATTCTTTGAGGAGGTCAACAAGCATGTGGACAAGGGGGATCTGGTGGATATAGTGTATTTAGATTTTCAGAAAGCCTTTGACAAGGTCCCTCACCAAAGGCTCTTAAGCAAAGTAAGCAGTCATGGGATAAGAGGGAAAGTTCTCTCATGGATTGGTAACTGGTTAAAATATAGGAGACAAAGGGTAGAAATAAATGGTCAGTTTTCAGAATGGAGAGAGGTAAATAGTGGTGTCCCCCAGGGATCTGTTCTGGGCCCAGTCCTATTCAACATATTCATAAATGATCTGGAAAAAGGGGTAAACAGTGAGGTGGCAAAATTTGCAGATGATACAAAACTACTCAAGATAGTTAAGACTGCGAAGAGCTACAAAAGGATCTCTCAAAACTGGGTGACTGGGCAACAAAATGGCAAATGAAATTAAATGTTGATAAATGTAAATTAATGCACATTGGAAAACATAATCCCAACTATACATCTAAAATGATGGGATCTAAATTAGCTGTTACCACTCAAGAAAGATATCTTGGAGTCATTGTGGATAGTTCTCTGAAAACATCCACTCGGTGTGCAGCGGCAGTTAAAAAAGCGAACAGAATGTAGGGAATCATTAAGAAAGGGATGGATAATAAGACAGAAAATATCATATTGCCTCTATATAAATCCATGGTACACCCACATCTTGAATACTGTGTGCAGATGTAGTCACCCCATCTCAAAAAAGATACATTTGACTTGGAAAAGGTTCAGAAAAGGGCAACAAAAATTATTAGGGGTATGGAACGGCTGCCGTCTGAGGAGAGTTTAATAAGACTGGGACTTTTCAGCTTGGAAAAGAGACAACTAAGGGGAGATATGATAGAGGTCTATAAAATCATGACTGGGGTGGAGAAAGTAAATAAGGAAGTGTTATTCACTCCTTCTCATAACAGAAGAACTAGGGGCCACTAAATGAAATTAATAGGCAGCACGTTTAAAACAAACAAAAGGAAGTATTTTTTCACACAACGCATAGTCAACTTGTGGAATTCCTTGCCAGAGGATGTTGTGAAGGCCAAGACTATAACAGGGTTCAAAAAAGAACTGGATAAATTCATGGAGGATAGGTCAATCAATGGCTATTAGCCAGGATGGGCAGGGATGATATCCCTAGCCTTTGTTTGCCAGAAGCTGGGAACTAGCGACAGGGGATGGATCACTTGATGATTACCTGTTCTGTTCATTCCCTCTAGAGCACCTGGCATTGGCCACTGTTGGAAGACAGGATACTGGGCTAGACGGACCTTTGGTCTGACCCAGTATGGCTGTTCTTATGTTCATGAAATTGAGAAGCAAGATTATGTGCGTTAGTGTCCATATTGTATTGAAGTTGCCAGTTTAGAAAGTTAAAGCAGCATATTCAGCCAAACTGTGCAGTCCACTGTGACGAATTAAACCTTCTGGACTTTGCCTGTTTCAATGCTGCTTCTCAATCCATGCTTTTATGTACAAGTATCAATCAATTAATCAGTTGCTAATTAAAGTACTTGAAGGAAAACTCAGAGGGCTTGATCCTTCACTATACTGAGCATCCGCCACATGCAGCTAAGTGCCCTCAGCTGCCATTGGGTGGGAGTTGGGATGCAGAACTTTGCAGATGCAAACATTCACTTTTTCTGACTCCCAACTGCTTGCTAAACAATGGTTAAAATCTGAAATAAGAGTCTCAGAAATGAAGGTGAATTAAATTAACCTAAAAAAACCCAGAATGTGAACCACTATGGGGAGGCGCAATTGTTCAGGGGTGAACTATCAGGACCCCACAGAATAATTATTTTTGAAACAATATCACTACGCATGATTATTTAGTCACGGTTGTGTAAACTTTTCTGGGCCTGATTCTGGTTTACACTAAGGTTCCTTGACACAACTCTGGCATTTGTGTTCTTTTTGCTCTGGCAGTGTAAAGGCAGTGTTCGTGTGGTTATAAGTGTAATTCTAAGGACCTTCGTGTAAAGGGCAACCAGGCCCTTCTCACTTTAGGTTTCACTAGTTTACTTTGCTGTTACAAACAGCGATAGCTTTATATTTACACTGACAATAAAAACAAAAGAAATGGCCAGTTTGGCCAGGGCCAGATTTCAAGGGGCTTTTGACACACTACAGCGCTCAAGTCATGGTGAGAGCTCCCACTGTAATTTGCTTCCAAATTTCATACCTCAGACAAAATGATACTGAGCTGGCTAGTGTAAACGTGTATCGCCTCTGACTACAGGACAGAACTGGACCTGCATATCATAAGCCCTATGCAGCTACTAGCTAATGGATAATCTCCTATAGCTCCAATGACCGGGCCTTTGCTTTTGGAGCACGCAGATCAGATGTGAGTTTTAGCCTTACTGTCGCAGTGAAGTTCTGAGGAGCCATGACATGTAGGAGAGTCAACCCTGAAGTTATAAATGGCCACGGATTGGTTACAGCATCTGCTGTAGGGCTACCTGTGTTCCAAGCAAGACTGCTATGCTATTTGAATGCTTAGATTGTGTAAATAAAGTTACATTTCTTTGATGGGTATGTCATTGTGTTTGGTCTGTCTTGCAATATTCCTAGGGAGGCCAGACTGCCTTAATATTAGGTGTCAGCCATGACAGGGGAGATATGGTGAAAGCCTTGTTGTCTTGCAAGGCTGACATAAACCAGCAGGATGATAATGGAACATCAGCATTGATGGTTGCCTGTCAGCATGGCAATGCTGAGATTGCGAAGCTTCTTCTGGCTCACCCTGGTTGTAACACTACATTAACGGACAAGGTAAGGGAAACAGGTGGTTGCAGCATGTACTGTAAAAAAAAATAGACATATTCAGACAGTCACTGCCAGGAGCCAATTAGTGAATATTTAAAGAAACCATATGGCTTTCTTGCCTTAGAACTGGAGCAGACACTAGACACCTCCTGGAAACCAAAGTATCTCCCTTATCAAACATGTTAGTGAGTGGGCTTTGGCTCTGTGCCTTGCCTGTCTCACAAATAAAAGGGACTGGATCAGTTTAAGGATTTGGAGGATGAGTAACCCGCGTTTTAACTCAATTTTCAATTCCAAGCCAAGCTGCACAATTGCATACTTAGAAGTGCAATGAAACGTGCCCTACCAGACAAGCTACTGCCTTCATAGACTACCTCCGAAGTATCCCCAAATGTACTAACTACAGTTGTACTCCAGCATCTGTAGGAGGTCATTTCCATTAAGCAAAAAAACCTTTTTTCAGTTTATTGAGCATTCGCTTAAGACAGGGGTCACGGTACAATACAGTGAACATGTATGTTCAACACTACTGAACTACAGCAGCATCCTGTGCTGGAGTTTTGGTAGATGAAAGAGCGTGAGAGAGAGAGAGAATGATTCCAGCATAGGCCTTTATCTCTTTAAAATACCATAATAAGTAACACCTGGGTTGCGCGCATGCAACATGGAGCTCAAGATGTTTCCTATTTTGTACATGTTCAGTACGCCTGGATACAGCCCTTTGCATTCGTCACTGTGGGTTACAGACAACAAGCGGGTTACAAATGATAATACATGCCCCATTGGCATATACCAGATAATTAGAAGTGTAAAAACATCTTGAAAATAATGAGGAAGATTCACTCTGGCTTAGAGCTTTATTCCAGCATTATGATGCACTGCTCAAACCACAGAAAAATATTATGTTAATAGACCACAGCTTCATTATAACCATATAGTTTTATGTAAAAACCTGGCACATAATCAAATGTTGTCCAATTCTCCACTTGACAGGGCCATTGAAAGAACTGCACCTATCAGAATCAACTAACTGAGTGTACCCACCATTTAATTACAGGGGGTCACAACTGAAAAATTCATTTCCTTCCTCAGAATGCTGACGTGCCATTTGTAACAGCCAATGAGAGAGCTTTCCTTTTATAAGGTTCCAGTCCCCGCACACCCCCAGTCTCCTCAGTGACTTCAAATCCCTCATCAGGTGATCCATTGCTTGGTTACAAACTCACCTAGCTGAACTGGTTCCTCAGGCAGCAGCTAGGTCATTGTCTTGTGGTGCATGTATTTGAATGGGAGACCATCTAAGTAAATGACCCTGGATTGTTAACCTTCTGCTAGCTGCAAGAATTTCTCATGACACCTCCCTGGAAGTCTTAGCAGAAGATGGAGGGTAAAAGGCAAAAGTGTAGGCAATCAAAATGGCACTCACAAAACAAAATGAAGTTTGTAATCTGATATAGGAACATACCGTTGGGTGACCAGATAGCAAGTGTGAAAAATCAGGACGGGGGTGGGGGGTAATAGGTGCCTATATAAGAAAAAGCGCCAAAAATCAGGACATCTGGTCACCCTAACATACAGACATACATTAGTCCCTCACAATCTTCCATGACGTACCACAGCCAGGGACTCCCATGTTGCACCACTTCTCCTCTCCACGCAGGTAGACTGTTATTTATCATGGGAGGTGTAGTCCATCCAAGGAGCCCAGCCAACAGAGAAGAATTGGAGCTTGAATCACCTGAACTACAACTCCCATAAGGCATGAGAGCAGTATTTTCAAATAAAAATATTTCAGTTCTCAGCCAGAATATTTTGGTGTTCAAATTTCTGCCCAAAATGAACACTTCCCATTAAAAACTCTCTACTTTTTTGATCAGCTCTAATATTTAGGCATTGTGGCCTGATTCTTTGGGGCCCCGAGTACTCTCAATTCCTATTGATGTCAATGGGTGGGTGTTGAGTACCTCTGAATGATCTTCTCAGCTCCAGCGGAAAGAACCACTGCATTATGAACATGTCAAAAAATCACAATGAGGAAATATTTATGCACAGCACACCTACAGACACTAAGGGGTACATTTTTAATAGAGAATAGGTCACACCTTGCTTTTTTAGAGGTGAAATATTCAGCTGAGATTTTGAACCAACACAATGCATTGCTGCTGCAGAGTGGCTGCAGTTCTAACTACCTGATGTGCACCTGCAGCCAAGTTAGAGGTACAAATACACAGATTACTCTTATGGGTGCAAAAATATGGGTACAAATTTTGTAGGTGCAAGTTGCACCCATAAACAGGAAGCCAACCTTGTTGAAATTTTTGCCAAGATGTATTTAAACCTGTTAATAATATATAGGGTGAAACCCTGGCTCAACTGAAGTCAATGGGAGTTTTTCCATTAATCCCTTAAATAGGCTAGCACGTAGCATGCCATTTAGTACGAATGTCCAGACAGCAGTCACCAAGACAGGAAGTGATTTGAAAAATACATCAGGGCCCAGTTCTGCCCTTTGGATACACTGATTTAAATGACTGAGAGTTGCACCAATGCATCTGAAAGGCAGAAGTGAGCTCTTAGGATCTTGACAAGAGAGAGCCTTGCAACGAAAGCCCTATCAGCAATATATATCAAATTGTCCAAGTCCTCCCTTTTCACCCCTCATAAATTGGATAGATCATCTGGCTGGAAAGGAAACTACTGCCTTGGCAAAGATCACATTAGCACATTTAAAAATCTCATTTCAGCCTTGGGAGTATAGTCTTCAGTAGCAGCACAATATGTGAATCACTATCTTATTTAGTTAAGGAAGATTTGAAAACCCCATTGAGTGAATAACTGGCAGTTAATTCCTGGGCAGAAATTATTATTTACAGCTTGTGTACATCATAATCTCACCTGGACATCTGGCAATGTGAAAACCACTGAAACAACAGTAGAGGAAATTTTCGTAGAAAAAAGAAGACCATTTGAGGCAATAACTTAGCTTCCTCCATGCCTGTGGAATCGAGAAGATTACAGATTTGTATCTGCTTCTTTCCCTCTGTTTAACGCAATTAATTAGACAGCAGATTGTGCTGGTGAGGGATAAAGATGTGCTGCACTATAATGTTACTTGAAGGTTTTAATCTGAAAGGTGACTGTTGATGCGAAACTAGTCACCTGCTGAAGACCCCAAATCAATCCAAATCCATCACAAAGCTGCTTTTTTGTACCAGGTGCCTTGCTATCATATTTCTCATGTGAAACACCAAAGAAGCATTGCTTATACATTTACAGCTTTCGGTACTGTGACAAGGACTGAACAATGTTATTTACATAAACACAATTAAATGTTTAATAGCCAGACCAGTTGCAAGCTGGCAGCACACCACACTGCCAACTAACTTGAAGTTTCTGAGGAATTATATACAGTGGCTGTAAGTGTGGAATTTCTCAGTAGTTGTATGCATTGGTTTTGTTCGTGTGTAAGGAGGTGGATCATGCACTGTCTCTTCAACAACCACTGTTGATTATCCAGGATGAATTTCACAGCCTTCAGAGAGAGAGCAGCATTGTTTCAAGATGATGCCAGAGGAGGATGAAAGAGCAGACAAGAACGTACGGGCAGGGCTAGCTATCAGAGATTAGTACAGTAGACTGTATTCAATCTGTGTCTGCACAGTCAGTGGCAATAGGTAGTTTACACATATACACTCAAATGGAGACAAATACAAGCACACTCTAAATAAACAGCAATTTTTTTTATTTTGGACATTATTTAATGGGAAATAGTCATTGCTGACAGCACCCCAAACTGAGCAAGATACTACCATGATGAATTAATTAGAAACAGACTAACTAGACCTAGCAAGATGGCAAAAATTGTCTTATGCTGATAAATCAAGTTGACCAACTTCAGGACGGAGAGCTCAGTGTCATGACTATAAGCTGAACACCAAATATAATGTCTTTTGTTTAATATAAACATACACAAGTGGAGATTGTTATAATCTCTCTCCACAACTCATCTTAATTTTGGGTAGTCAGCTACTGAGATAAAGCAGGTTTCAGAGTGGTAGCCATCTTAGTCTGTATCAGCAAAAACAAAAACAATGAGGAGTACTAGTGGCACCTTAGAGACTAAAAAATTTATTTAGGCATAAGCTTTCATGGGCTAAAACCCACTTCATCAGATGCATGGAGTGTAGGAAGATATATATAACAGTACATGAGAAGATGAGAGTTGCCTTACCAAGTGGGGGGGTGTCGAGACAATTCAATTAAAGTGGGCTATTATCAACAGAACGAAAAATCACTTTTGTAGTGGTAATCAGGGTGGCTCATTTCAAACAGTTGACAAGATGGTGTAAGTAACAGTAGGCAGAAAATTTTTAGTTCTTATAGTGACTCATCCACTTCCAGTCTTTATTCAGGCCTAATTTGACGATGTCCAGTTTGCAAATTAATTCCAGTTCTGCAGTTTCTCGGAGTCTGTTTTTGAATGTTTGTTGTTGAAGAATTGCCACTTTTAAGTCTGTTATTGAGTGTCCAGGGAGGTTGAAGTGTTCTCCGACTGGTTTTTGAACGTTATAATTCTTGACGTCCGATTTGTGTCTATTTATTCTTTTGCGGAGAGACTGTCTGGTTTGGCCAATGTACATAGCAGCTGCTCTGGTAACTAAGATTGGCAGCCTGCTAAATACTGTGATCAGAGACTATGTTCAGATTCACATACATCTCCTTACAGTCGATGCTTTTCTCAGGAAAACAGACAAAAGGGGGAAACATCTGGCATTTGAATACTATTTTCTCCTTCCTCGGAAGCATCAGGAATGACCACGTCTGGAGATGGGACATTGGGCAGGGAGGGCCAGGGCTCTGAGGTGGCTCCGAGCATTCTCTCTCTCTCAGGTAGTTGGCTGGCTGGTTCTTGCTCACATGCTCAGGGCCTAACTGTTCGCCATATATGGGGTCAGGAAGGAATTTTCCCCAGGTCAGATTGGCAGTCACCATGGTTTTATTTTTTGCCTTCTTTTGCTACATGTGGGTGTGGGTCGCTTGCCAGGATTATTTGAGTATATCTCATTGAATCATTTCTCTGTCATTGCTGGGGCCTTGAGCACTTGTCCTCTTCAGTCCCTCCTACTCTCTGCCTGTGGCACATAATAGGCTGGTATCCTGTGGGCTGTAATGCTTTGGTCTCATTTTAGTTGTTGGGTTTAGTGTGTGGGTCCTGGGTGGTGTTGGTGGCCTGTGATATATAGGAGGCCAAACTAGATGATTTAGTGATCCTTCTGGCCTTGGACTATATGACTCTATGAAGGATTAGGCCATTTTGACGTTATGGGCAATTTTGTCACTGTAATGCATGCAACCACTTTTCCCATTAGTAGAACTGGCACATGCAATTCTCCACATTCAACACTGACATTAACCCTTAGCTGTCCAATAAGATTTTTATTTGAAAGATTTGCATAGTAAATTCATTTTCTTTTTTTCCCATGTAGAGTGGTAATTCTGCTCTGTCTGTCGCTCTGAAATCTGCCCACATGGAAATTGCAGAGCTCCTCCAAGCCCACATAGAGCAGAGCCGGTCTTTGGCTAAATAAAGGAAATGGAAAATAGCATTTGTCGGAATGGGCAATGGATAACAAAAGGTTCATTCTTTTAACAACTCTGCTTCCAATTTAGATGGAAATGATTGTAGCTGATACTGCTGATTTCTATACTTATTGAGGGAGTGAACTATGTCAACTATTTGCATACATTCCTAATATATAATTCCCCTCATTAAGCCTGCTTTTATAGTTCTAACCTATGCATAGTGCCATAAATGACTCAAATACTGTTTCAGAGAGTTAGATTATTGTATTGCCTTTTATTAACACACTTGATCTTGATCTTAAAACTGAATTCCACTATCTACCCCTCACAGTATAATTTTGTCACGTTGGTGAACAGAAAACAAATGCACATTAGAAAAGCAATACTTACTTTTTTTGTAATTTTAGATAATGGTGTTCTTTTTAATCAACTATTTAAAATGTGTCTCATTTAACTTGCAAGTTTACATCTTACTGTTTATTATTACACCTTCTGTATGTACTAGCAGGCAATGCTTACTCAATATATATAGCAGTAAATACAAGTCAGGTGGATTATATAAAAATATCAAATCCTATTTATGTGTGGTTATGTGCTCAGAAGCAAGAATTAAAATTAATTCTCTAGGAAAATATTTGAGTGTGCCAGATCCAAACACACAGACATTGTTTTTCTTGTATTCAGAATTACCATATGGCTCTCATTTTTTCTAATTAAATTTGACTTAAGCAGGAACCGTGGCCCACTGGCATATACAATATATCATTTATAGGATGCTGAGGTACAATTGTGAAGTATCAGGTTATCCAAACACAGTACAGGAGACAAATTACTTGATCATTGCATAAACCTTCTCTGCAAGGATGGGTTAATACTGTCTGAAAGGTTGCATATTTAAATTCATAGAACCACTTCCGATGATAATAGGTTCCACCCAGAAAGTGCCCTTTGGCCAAACATCTGTTCTTCAGTTTCCAGCATGCTAAACTTTTGGAACCCCCCAAACTGGGCAGATTTAAATCTGTGTAGTAATTTAGCTGCCAGATTTTTCCTGTGTAGTCTGAGTGACCTGCTCAAGGAGAGCTAGGGCTTCTCCTTGAAGTATACAGCCCTTTGGGCCCTGGTGGGAATCCAGCACTGTCTGCAGTGCATATATAAGGCAGATCTTTCCTACATTCCAGTGGTCCAAGCACAGCAATTACAGATCACTCTGCCTTCTTCTTTCAAAGCAGGTACGGTATGTCTCAGAGGTCCTTCCTCTGTGAAAGTCACAGCCAAAGGGTGCCGTCCTGCAGGGTACCGAGAACATCCTGTGAGATACTGAGCATTTTCAACTCCCACTGAATTCAGCATCTCGCAAGAATTACTCAGCACCTAGCAGAATGGGGTCATAAATCCCTATCCCTGCAAACATCTTTCCATTCTCATTAAGACAAAAAATTAACAAGCCTTGTTGTTACATTTCTTCCATTGGAAGAGTCTTTCCATTGACTTCAATGGGCCTGGAATCCGACCCTGATTGTACACAGCCATTCAAATTGTGTGCAGCATGAAGTCAGTGAGACTGGATCCAGTAGCACTTACTACAAATAAAATGTATTGTTTTTCTAACGTCCTCGTTTTTATTTCTAAACAAAACCTAATCCTGGTTTAACTTTTTTGGTTTATGTGTAAGTCACATTATAGCATATTATTAAATCTCATTGGAGTCACCCCATCCTCTTCCCTTGCATTTGCAATGCATATCAAAATCATTTCCAAGACTGATAGCGTGATCCCATTGTCCTCATTCGAACAAAACTCTCAATGGCTTAGGTGGGAGTTTTGTTGAAGTAAGGAAAAGAGGATCCTGTCCTTTGTTCTTTGTCATTATTCAGATGTTTTCACATTGAAATCTACTGTATAATTCTTGTTATTTCTTTCATGGTTCTTAATCAAAAGCAATCTGTATGGTCATCATCCCATACATTTGTCTCTCATTTTACTGTATCCCAAAATGAATTTATCTCCTCTATGTGTGAATAAAAGTCAGATTTTAATTTACCTGCATTTGTTCTTATACCTATTTTCCTTCTCCATTTCTGGGACAGAAAATTAGATCACACATTTTACTAGTGAACTAGTTCTCTTGATAGTAAATGGGGGTGCAGTTATGGTGAAATCACCCATTGCCTCACCACACATTGCAGTCAATGGAAAAATTCTTCTTGACTCCAGTGGGAGTTGAATCAGACCCATGTTTAATAAAGTACAAGGGGGCCTTTTGTGAACCCTTTGTATTTACGTGAGTTTTAGTCTTAATTAGATAGGGAAACTGAATGATATAGGTTACAGAATACAAGGAAAAACCTCTAAGTCTATTATCTCCAACACATTTTAATGGAATGACAAAGTCCCTTTTTAGAGGCAAGTAGGTCTCCAGTGGATATATGAGGAGAAACTTATAAAATGATTAAACAATGCCAGGATTACTAACACAAATCCTGGAATTTGAGAGGTAATCAATACACTACACCAACTCTTCAAGTTTTAAACAAACACAAAATCAATTTAAAAAACAAGCTGAGTTGTCCAAATACCACTAGCAGTTATGCTCCATGAGGCAGACCCATAGCAGCCAAAGCAAAATGAAAGGAGGTTTTCAGAAGCGAAGGTTACAGGAGTATCCTTGACTTGCAATAGGAACTCACCAAAGACTGAGAAGAGTAATGAGAAAGGAACACAAAGGGCCACCAAACACAAACAAATAGGTAGCGGTATATTGTTCATTTATACCGCACTGTATGAAGTATACGAGTGCCTTGCAAGTTTATCTATCTGCCACAGTCAGGCTTTAGAAAGAAAGAGCAGATAGATAAAGAAGAAAAAGCTACTGCATATGTAAGTAGATTCAAACCCAAAGTTATAAATGAACAATGGTCCTGAACCTCCATCTGACTATCTCAGAACTCTGGGAAAGTTCAAATCTGGATTGAACCACTAGCAAAAAACTTCAGAAAGTGTCAGGCAGCCAAAATCTAACTAATGCTAATGTAAAAATATAAGCTGGCCTATAAAATTTGGTAAATCATTTGTGTCAAACCAAGTACTTTAGTTCTTCAGAATTTGAATGGTTTAGTCAAAATTCTGGAATTAATTGGCTTTTGCCACTATATCACCACAATGCTCTCCTTGCTGGGATGAACTGAGGTACGAGTGTACCACTAAAAACAAAAGAATTCAGGGGGAAATCTGCCAAACTCCTTAACTCATGCTGCAGCACCTAGAGGTTTCAGTACATATGCTACATAAAATATGCATTGTTTTAGATATTTCTTCAAAACACAGGCAGTTAGAATTGTTATTGTTATACGTGTGCCATAGGTTGCCTACCCCTGCACTAAAGAGTCACCTCCCCGAAGGACCTAAATCTTAATTAATAATAAGAAACAAGCTTTTTATCTCCTCCCTGTTGGAGCTTACTACTCAAAGGGACGGAGTAACCGCCAAGAGGTTTGCAGGCCTGGCTGATACCTGAAAGGGTACAAAGAACTGAATTATCTTTAACCTGAGATATTGCCATTAAGTATTACCCAGTATGGTTACCCAATAACTACATTGAATAAATTATTCTGTAACGGGAGAATAAAAGAAAGGAATTTAGCTAACAGTAGTAAAAATATACTCTAATGCTTTATTGCTTTATTAAATTCATCCCAAGAGTATTGTCAGAAGACTCAACTTCATTGAAAGTAACGGAGTTGTGTCCTGTACAAATTCAGCCTATAATTCTTTTGTTTTTAGTGGTACACTCGTACCTCAGTTCATCCCAGCGAGGAAAGCACTGTGGTGACAGCATCAAAAAAACAAACAATTGCGATTTATGTATTTTAGTGTTTGTGGTTAGGGTTTGTTTCTTTTTCATATTTTTTCCACTGTCCATATAAGGCAGAGTTAAGGTTGTTTGCATGCCCTACCTGTGCATTTCCACACCTTCACCTGTTGGAATTTATTTTAAAATGTAACTTTAACTAATTCTGTACTTCCTCAGTTTACAAAGTTTGCTTCTGGGATAAACATCATGTATTCTCCCTGAATAACAGGTTGTACTTTCAACCTTAACTCCATTTTAATATGTTTTTTTTGTCTGGGAATTTCCTTATTAAAATTTTTTTTTAAATGTCATAGATTTAACACTGAACAAAAAAACCCCAAAGCGAATGTTGCTGTGTGATATTTCTAATGTTTTGAAGATAGGCAGTATCAGCCTAAAATATTTTAACTTTTAGGGCCAAATTCACCAGTACATTCTGGCTTACTTTACCCTGTTGGGGAGCAGTGCATAGCAACCAGAGCCTACAGGTTAATTAAGCATGGTTTACAGTTACTTTCCATACCCAGAACAGCACAGAATGTATTGGGTGTGGGGGAGAGGTGAGGAGAGAGGGAGAAATTGTGGGTGGGTGGCGGGCAGAACAGTCTTTGGGGAAGGAGGCTGTTTTAGGGAAACTGGCACTAAATGATGGAAATCAGGGAGTGGGGGGAGATGAGAATCTGGTCTCTCTCATGCCACTGACCCATTACAACTGTTTCTTCCTTGGCTGAGCGGTAGCCAGAATTCAGGGCCCTGCAGGTCAGTTTCCCAGTTGGAGCAGCAATTGGTGACCCAGTCAAGTATTTTCTTAGTGTAATTTGTTTATTTACAAAATGGCACCCGTCCTCTCTCCCTGAACAGCAGCAAGAACAAGCTGCACACAGGCAACCTCCTTTTGCAGGAATCCCAGATAAGGAACCACTCTCCTGTCCAAAGAAGGAGATATTCTTAGCCTCACAGCCAAGCAGACTGCTTCCTTCCACAGATCACCCCAAACTTGAACTGACTACTCAGCATGCAGTCTGGTTCCAGCAACGGAATTTGAAACCTAGGAAAAGCCTGTTAGCTCCAAAATGCCTCTCAGATTGCTTTTGGTGTCTCCACACTTGGCCCCAGGAGTCAGCCCCACTTCTTTATGTGATTTGCTTTGCACTGCAAAAGGGCCTAGAGTGCTCCTATTGGTGGGCACAAAGGAAAGTGCTTTAGTATATGGCTGTTCACCTGAGTGGGTTCTGTGATTGGCTTTGCATCCAGGATCCCTAATTGTGGGCCACCTCGTTCATAATAACAAATGAAGAATTATACGAGAGCTGGTTCCTTTCATTTCAAATTTCTGCCACAAATGGGAATAAACTTTTGTGACCATTAAAAAAAAAAAATGTTTCCTGCTTTTTGACCAGCTGCAGAGTTGATTTAAATGTTTTTAAATTAGAAATTTCAATGAAGAAAACAGAAACATTCAAATGCTGACAAAAGAAAAAAAGTTCCTCCTCTCCTCAATACACACAGACACTCTCTCTCACACATGCACACACAGAGCAAGAGAAAGGGCAGTCACAAATGCAAACCTTCTCCTTTTTGATGCCCCCATGGGGCAAAATATATAATAATCTCAGCGCACACTAAACTCCAAAGCAAGGCTTGCAAAATGACATCAGAATGGGAATATGACAATAACCATTGCTTTTTAAATGAGGTTGAAATGTTTGCGAGCTGTAATAAGATTTTAAAGGCCTTCCTGTAGACACCACCAATGTCTGGGTTTTTTTCCAGCAAAATGTAGGGTCACTTTGACAAAGATATGACGCCCTTTGTGAGAAGAATTGTTCCATATGTTCCCGGGAAGTTGAATCTTCTCTCAGTACAATCCCAGGACAGGTCTTATCAATAGTGATGTGAGCTACGTGTCCATAACCACGAAAAAGAATCTTATGGGATATTTCAACTCTTACACGTCTCTCTTTTTTCTCCACTCTCCATCTCTTCTCCCACCACCTCTCTTCCACATCTCTGTCCCCTTTCCTCCATCTTTCTGTGTGGAAGCTTTCCTCATACTTCTCTCACACTCCCCATTCCACTCTATTTCTCCCGCGCTTAGGCTTTTAGACTGCCTGCCCCTCACCAGAGTATCTGGACACCTCTCTCTGCCTCTCATTTAGCTTGCCAGACCTTTCAGGGTGCAGCAGTGGCTGTGGATTGACTACATGGCCAGGGAGAAGTAATTTGTTCCCCTTTATCCTGAAACAACCCCAGCCACCTAAACCTCCCTTGTACTCGGGAGTTGGTATTTCATACCTTGGAGACTGGTTTGAACTGAGCATTTCTTTCATTACTGTTCTGCAACAGGGGAAATTCCCCCTCCCCCCACACTCTCAGGGCACAAAATTTTCCAAAAGCCCAAATGGCCTCTCAAGTAGCCTTTTAACAGGGCTATAGGGGTAACATTCTGCAAAAAGAACAGAGATTAACATGCATGAGAGGCCATTTCTGCATCCAGTTCCCTTTTTAAAATAAATGTAGCGTTTCCCTTACACAAGGCCAACAGGTTTCTGAAACCACCCACTTCATGTTCTTTGGGGCCCAAATAGAAGAGATTATGTTTTGCAGCTTCTGCACTTGGATTTATTTGGGAAAGTTGCTCTAATAATAATAATAATAATCCTATACACTTCTAGAAACACTTGTCAGCTTCAAACTTGAATAACCTCAAGCACTTTGCAGGATCAGGCCCTTCATCGTCACAAAACCTGGTGAGGTGGGTACATAAATATTATTTCTTTCCCTTCACTGAACCATCCGGTCCTGCTCAGAGATCAGGATACAGAACTATATGGACCTAGGCATTCAGGTACTACAATGATGAGTGCAGTATAAAAACCTATATAGAACTATCACTCCGAGCCAGCATGGCAGTTCCTGTGCTCGCACAGTTGATTTTCTCATCTCTTTCCCATTTAAGGCTATTTTCTTCTTTTACAAGTCTCTGTTTTCTCTTGGGTTTGCTTACTTATTTTTGTTCCTCTCTCCCTCTCCACTGACCTTTACTTTTTCCTGATTTGCACTTTAGCTCCTTTAATATGCATGTTTATTTTCATTCCTTTACCTTCTGTTTCTTCTCTTCCTTCCAACTGTTTCCTGCTCTCTCTTCCTCTCTCAGGGAGCAACAACTAAGCACCAGATGATTGATTCT